GTGCTGGCTGCCTCTGCCGCTTGTTTGGGTTAGCGTTGGGGTCTGAGAAAGAGACAGAACAACAATACAACATCTCAACTGCTATGAACATTAAGAGTGCAAACACAAAAGAAAAGGGAAGGCGGTGCAGCTCAAGGAGTGACATGCAGTGAGCATTAGCTGTTAATACTACTGCAAGTGACTGCAATACTAAACCATAATGGAGATTTTGAATAACATATCAGGTCGATCAAAGACAAATTCAGCTAAATGTACAGTTTTTCATTCTCTCAGACCTCACAACCAAACACACACCTTGTGAATTGTTCCAATTGCCATCTGCATCGGTATCTGCACAGACAGACAGATTAAATTAAGTAATAAAATTATATACACAAACATGACTAAATTACTATACTTCCAAAATTAAATATGCATTTGTTCATTACTCTTGGTTCAGACTATAATAAACAGCTTCCAAGAGGGGTTCAAAAGCAGCGCACGACACGTACTAATAAATTAGAGGTCTGTTCCAGAAAAAAGTGGTCTGATGAATAAACACTTCAGGCAAGTAGCAGAGTTCTAGATATGGTTACATCAGTTTGCCTGCCTGCAAGACCAAGACAAATGGTCTTCTCCAATAAGATGACACCCAAACCACATCAATGTCATAATACAAGGTTTCACATGGAAGGACAGCAGAGGCTACTACAACAATACTTGGTGATAAACACATTACCTACATATTTTAGACATAGGAATTTAAGTGAACACAGAATGAATGAACTTTGCTTAAATTTTATAAAATACTAAGGAAGCGGTTTAAGGGTCTTTATGTGTAAGTCAAAATGAAACTGTTGCAACCCATTTTACTTTCTTAATCTGACCTATTCCAATGTTCTCGTTATACAGGTGCATCTCAATAAATTAGAATGTCATGGAAAAGTTCATTTATTTCAGTAATTCAACCCAAATTGTGAAACTTGTGTATTAAATAAATTCAATGCACACAGACTGAAGTAGTTTAAGTCTTTGGTTCTTTTAATTGTGATGATTTTGGCTCACATTTAACAAAAACCCACCAATTCACTATCTCAACAAATTAGAATACTTCATAAGACCAATAAAAAAAACATTTTTAGTGAATTGTTGGCCTTCTGGAAAGTATGTTCATTTACTGTACATGTACTCAATACTTGGTAGGGGC